CTCTCTGCATTTTTAACAATGCCCTTTTAAAGACAGAAGGTGACTCTGTTCTTACTTGAAATTCATTATTTATTACTGTGTTCTTTATACTTTTGCAGATGAAACTCCTTCTCAAAGATATTTCAGTGTTAAGGCCCAGGTTGTTAGTCATCTATTCTAGATGCACAAAACAGTGAAAACGTAGTATGCCCTTCTCGGTTCCCCATGGTTTTGGAAAATTCCATGGGTTTTTGTAATACTGGCATTAGAGACCCAGTCTAGACGTTCTCCCTTCATGGATAGACATGACACAACTGTGAGAGTCAATCATGGAGATTAGAATGGAAAACCACTACTTTGCATTGCTGCTTTGTTAATTGCGTAGTTGTTAATGGATGTGCCTTCAACCTTGGAGTGACAAGTTTTGTTGGCCGTGGAACACCAGGGATGAAGAAGGGAAGATGGAAAGCAACTGGGTATGTGGTAGGCAAAGAGGGAGGAAGATCAACACAGAAAGAAACTTAATTCAGAATGACTAATCTTTAAAAGAAATATCAATACATTCTCTGCCAAAGAAAATGCAGAATAGAAGAGGGGAGGGAGGTGAGATGGTCGGAGCTAGGGAAGAGTGAAGAGAAAGGGACAGTAGCATTGATTGCGTAAAGGAAGAGTAAAATACGATAGCAAAGGAAAGGTGACAGTAGCTAAGGCTGGTGAGAGATTTCTCTGTGTGTCACTGAGACCTGCACAGTTGACCAATCTCTGGGATCTGGTGTCTGCAGCCTGCGCGCTTGCTGGCTCTGTGGCCCTTCCACCAGCTCCCCGAAATCACTGCTGAGAAATTCTCTTCGGCTGCAGTTCTAGAGATGAGTGACGGAAATGATTCTGCTCTCTAACCATGTTATCGTATTTCCATCTGCCCAGCTCAAAATAAAAGGCTTTTGAAATGTTCTTGGGATTGCAGTTTTCCAGACACTCAACCACCTATTCTCAACCACTATAATGTTTACAAAGCAAAGCTTTTATTGCTTCCTCCCACGTAAAGGAAGCAGTGATGGGACAGATTCATCCCTAGATGACAATGTTTTTTGATTCCAAAACAAACTTTCTAAAAAATATTTTTAAAACAAAAAAGGACATTTTCTTCCCTGCAGTTGTTACTGTGTTGGTTTAAAAACTTTTCTCAGATATTATATTAAAACAAAATCTGACATTTTGTCCTAGCAATCTCTCAAGTTACAGACTGTAAAAAGTTCATGTGCTACTTTTGTGCATAACAAGGCCAGCTTCTTTAATTCTATTTGCCTTCCTACTAAATGTTGGATTCCCATATTCTTTCTTAATTGCACCTTTTTCTCAATTCTTGCTTCCTCTTTTGAGGGGAAGAATATGGGGGAGAGAGAGAGAGAGAGAACAGGTAAGATTTCCTCCTTTTGTTTAAAAAGACAGACTAAACCTTGAAGGCAGGCATTAGGTTGACAATGTGGTAGTCGCTAGAGATTTGAGTCTGGTGCTTGCAGCAGGATGCTGCAGGGTTCTAATGAAGTTATTGATAGTAAACCTTAAACTACATGTGCAGCTACTTGTTTTTATATAGATTAAAAAAATATATAATCTTTGCACAGCAGACTGCAGCATCCCAAACCTGAGCTACCTGTATGTAAAATAGTTCAGGTAATATTAGTAACTTACCTGCAGCGAGGTCCCATATAGCAGGAAGCAAAGTAAATTAGTCCACATTTGGGCTACAGCAGTGAGATGACTTTCTGTTCCTGGGCAACCTTTAAAGCTAGCTTGAATATTCCTCATCATCTGCAGGGCTGATGATCTTAGAGCCTTTCCACTGACAATAGGTCAACTACTAGTGTAACACCTCTTGCTGTGCCTAGTCAGGACTACTGCTGCTGTTGGCCAGTATTGGTTGCTCCACATTGTTCCAGCTGAACATTCGTGCCATTTGCGTGGATAATATCCACATGACTGAAGTCATTCAGGCTCAGTATAAAGCTTTGATTTGAAGCCTTAAACACTAAACTGCAATTACGTGGTATAGTCCACTAGGTTAGAGTTGGCTGTCCCAGAACATTGTCAAATGCTTTGCCTCTAAGCTTACCATTTTTGTGAATCTTCTTTATTAAGCATTGAAGGAAGGAAGGAAGGAAAAAAAGGAGGGGGGGAAAGCTTTAGTATTTTCCAGTAAAATATTTTTAAGACTAAAATTTAAGCTAGTGGGACTAATGTTAAGAAAGCAAAAGCTTGAATGTAATAAGTCAATAGAAGTTCCCAGATCTTCGCTTATTATAGAAGGACCTGGACCATGTATACCCTTGTGTATATATAAGAAATTTGAGAGCAGAAGTGATTTGTAGCAGAGACACAGAGAGCATTTGTAGTATGCTGTGGTTTGTGATGCTATGAGGTTTCCAGAGTATTGCTTGCAGGAAACACAAGTTGCACTATTGCATCAGGTCGTGTTACCATTTTGTAGTATTTCCTATCCAAAAGAACATTCATATGCCTCAGTGAACATAATCCTTTCATGTTTTTGCTTGTTGGAATTAATTATGTTAATGGCGGTGTAATACTGAAAATCTGGAATACAGTACAAAACTGTGATCTTGTAACATTTGGTGCCAAAATCTCAGTAATTATTTGTGAGGATTTACCAATTCTAGTCGGGAAGTAGTATAATGCTACTCTGGAGTGGGTTTTATTTAGGTTTTATTTTTACGTTAATTTGGTGTCACAATTGAATTCCTGGTTTTTTTTAAACATGCATTACCTACACTGAAGCTCCATAGGGGAATATTAATAGTCCATTTAGTGGCACTGCAATGTTACAAGGATGCCTTAGGTGGCATAAGTCCCATAGGTCATGTAGCTATTTGAAGATATGGGAATAAAGCTCTTACAGTTGGTGTGTTTTTTGTTTGTTTTAAAGCATGTTTGTGGTTACACATCACAGGACATACTACTCTTTGATCTTAGTAGCAGGGCCAAGTGGGACTAGAGAAGCAATATATCGTCACCCTGAAGGAAAATGTTCTCAAGTTGGCTTTTTAAAAACAAATGAATCAATTTGTAATTTCCAAATAATATATAAGTTAAAAGGACAATAACGGATTTTGCGCTCTCTGCTGATTTTGCTGGGCTTTGCCATCTTGCATCTGATGTGTACTAGCTATGCTCCTGCTCTTAGCAAGGTGATATTTCATATGGAAGATTTCAAAGGTCCAGAACAATTTACATGGAAGATAATACTGTTGATGCTGACTTAACAGAAAATGTCGTTGAATCTGCACATATTAGTATGCTGGGTTTTTTTTTTAAAAAAAAAAAAAGCACAAGTATGGAGCTCTGCAGTTGTGTTCATTCTTGACAGCTGGATTAATGGAGACTTGCACCTTTCTGTCAGTTGTAGTGTATCCGGGTGCAATGAGAATGCAAGATTTTTTTCCCCCTCATTCTTTTATTATTTTCCTTCTTTTCCTGTCAATTCAAAGATAGATTTGAAGTCAAAAAGTACTTATTTCTCTGCTAGACATTGCGTTGAATAATCTAAGATTCCAGACTTGCCTGGTGCAAGGATGACATGCAAATTCATGAAGCGTTCCATATCCTTCTTTTTTGTTGCTGAGGCCCACCCCACCGGGGGGGGGGGGGGGGGGGGGGAGTGAGCGAGTGGCTGCGTGGTATTTGGCTGCCTGCCAGATTAAACCATGACAAGAATTCTAGGACAAAGTTTCATCAGGTTCAGTCTATAATTCCCTTTTTTTTTCATGAATGCTATATATGTAACATTTTTGATACTGATTAATATGGTTTGTGATAATTTGCACCTCACAAATCCAGAATAATATCTGAATGTCAATGCTACACATTCCAGAAATTGTGTTCTTACTGTCTTTATTAACTGCTTAGTGAAGAAAATTGTCTAGTGTACTGTATATTTGTTAAAAACAACCCAAATAGTTTTTCTTTACTCAAGCGTTCACAATCTTTTAAGAAATAAGCTTGAGAAATAACTAGGTGTATTTTAAAATGGGGTGAGTTTTTGCCACATCACAAAATAATTCAGGCATCATACTCAAAAGACTGACTCAGCAGCTTTTGCTGGTGGGGGAGGAGGAAAAAAGGGGGAGGCTTTGTGTAGATTATTGAAGTATTGCTTGAAAGCAATTTTTCCTCAGAAAACAATGACTGGAAAGGTGACATGTACATTCTCCCCTACCCATACCTCCCCAAATAGTTCTGAATAAGAAAGTCTGTATTATTAAAGTGCCTTCTCTTTCAGGACTTTTGGCAAACTACCTTATTACATTCTACGCTTGAATAGAGTAGCCATCATAAGTGCACTGTGGGCTTTCCTGGACTCTTTAATTACTGTATATGCAATGATAATATATACACTTTTCCTGAAGAGTTTATGAACCAAATTCAATACTTAATGAGATTAAAAGGAATCTTTCCCTGTATTTGAGTAGGCATTAGATTTTGCCCTAAAACGCTGGCAAAGACAATCTGGTGCTTGTTTGATAACTTTACTACATTCAGAATCCAAAATAAACATGGCCATAGTTTCTGGTCAGTGTAAGACACTGTGGTCAGTCTAATGTGACATCCCACAGTTGCTTACCATGGTATGGACCAACATCTAGTATGAACTAGATACTAGGAAGTGGGAGAAGGTTTTCCTGCCTAAGAAAATTATAGGTATCATGTAAGGGCCATGCCTTCTGTTTGTAGTCTGTGGTCAATGGCAAAACTTCACCTTCTTAGAACAACCTAGGAGGAAGGAAGAAGTGGAGCAAAGAAAGTTTTCTATAAAATTGATATATGTGTAACCATAAATATCTTAATTTTTTATTCATGAGAAAGAAATATATCATCATGTCTACATTTAAATAACTTGATAAGAAATTAAATACACAGGGCCAGTCCTGAGAATATTCATGTTCAAGCACCAGTAATTAATTGCAAACAACATAACTACTTGTGTGAGTGAAAACTGCTTGTGAAAGCAATGAAACCAGCCTCCTAATCTGCCTGTTTATCAATTTTGGTACAATTGTGTAGCGTTATAGAGAAAATGAGGGCTTTCAAAACCATTCAGTGGTCATTTAAGATTACTTTCTTTTCCTTCCTGTCCCACAGGTACTCTGTGTCTGCATGTTAACGACAATCCTAGGATGTATATTTGGCCTGAAGCCTAGCTGTTCAAAAGATGGTAACTAATATGCCTTTTGGTAATATTTCTAAGCCATTCCTTTTTTTTTCCTTTTTTTTTTTCCTTTTTGTAAATTAATTTTGATATTATCAGAATGCCACCCTTTCTTGCTGCAGGAAGAAGATTGGATGCATTGTTTGAAATAGTTTCAGTTAAAGGGGAATGAAAATACTGGGAAATAAACTTCAGGTGTACTCAGTACTTGTGTGTACTCACTTGAGAGGTAAACTGATCCTGGCACTCAGTGTCTGGTCTGGCAGCTTCCATGTATCCCAACTGTCACTGTGGTGATGTCACATGGCTGGCTTTTCTCAGTTCACTATAAAAAAAACCCCAACAATTTCTATTTCATGTTGTCCTGGAACATTTGTTTTTCATCTTTTCCAGTCAATTATGGGGGAAAAAAAGTTATTTTTTTACTGGTTAGAATTGTAGTCTGAAAACGTTCCTTGTGGAATTCCTCTGGCTGTTTTCTGTCCTGAAAAATATGTGGTTTTTTCAGTGGTGAAGTTTCTTCAGGTAGAAGGTTACGAAAGATATTTTAGGAAATGAGACTTCGCTTTGGGAACAACTGTCTAGAATAATTTGAAAGTTGATCTGTTTAACAAACAGTTCTGCAATGATTTTTAACCAAAATTCAGATTATTAATTTCCCGCTAGAATCTGTTTAGGTTTTTTCTCATTTTATTACAGCTTTGCCATATTGGCTCATTATTATCACGTTTTCCTAATATTGTGTATCTCAAGAATCTTGAGAAGAGGAGCCAAATGAATGAAGGATTCGCCTCATTCCTTTCTGGTGATTGCACAGGATGAACCAGACTGACCAGCGACTTAAGTGTTGTTAATGCTTCACATCACCAGTTTCTTTTTTTTTTTTTTTTCCCCCAGGCAACCCCAGTCTAGTGGAAGAATGCTATGCCTCTGTTTTTTCCACATTAAAACTGAACAAAAATTAAGCCAGTGAGCAGTACATTCAAGTTTGTATCTCCTGTGTCTGGTTTGGAACAGCCCTTCCTGTGTCTTGAAATAGTACCTTAACCATGGTACAGCAGGATGCAGAACTGGGGCTTCTTTGGTTCCTCTGACTTGTATGAAGACAGTCGTTCAAGCAGGGCATGAGCGTGGGAGAGTTGCAAGCATAGCCAATGCAGTCTAGATTCTAATTAATGTTTAATTATTTATAGAAAGTGGAACGCTGTCAGATGCGAAAATGAAGATCAGTGTTCTCTGCAAAAACGTTTCACTCTTTAGGGCAGCCTTGTTGAAAACCTAGGTTCAGATTTCCTCCGATAGAGATCTTCCATATTCTGAACGACTGTACTCGTGTCTTCTGGTGATACAGAAGGGCAGGGACAGTCACAATTAGAATTGTAGTCTTTTGTTTCACTTGTTTCTGCCAATAATGAAACACCATGTTCCTGCTAAAACAGAACAGAACCTTCTGTTCAATATGATGAAAAAAAATTTTTGTTCAATAAGAGAAAATAAACATTTAGTTGGATCAAGACTCTCCTTTTCCTTTGGCTGTCACTGTTTTTGCAGCCATCCTGTAAGCTGTGGAATGACCAGCTGTGTCATTCCACACACTGACCTTACTCATTTCTTTTGCATGTTGACTGATTTGGGCTCAGCCACTGACATCTAACGCTATCCAATATTACAGTGAAAACCTGCAAAGGTCGTTGCTTTGAAAGGACCTTTGGAAGCTGCCGTTGTGATAGAGATTGTGTCAAGCTTGGAAACTGCTGCTTAGATTACCAGGAAACATGTATACAACCAGGTAAGGATGGGAAAAAAGCTGTGGGGGCAAACTCTCCTATTCTGTGACGTGGGACAGCTCTGCCCATGTGAGTACTGCTGTGGTCAGGTGGCCGCAACCCCTGGCTTCTTTCAGGTGGGCTGCGAGTGCAAGAGCTGGGCTGCTGAACAGCAGGGTGGTTCTGATGCCAGCGGTCTCCCCCTCTTTGTGCTCCCTCCGTTGCAACCAGGGGTGGAGTTGCAGCGGTGATGGCACTACTGGGGACTCCTGTGGAAACATCAGGGCTCTGGTGCAGCTGTGGTTGTACGCAAACAAAGCGTGTGTTTCACCCAGCTGGAGTACATAGCAGCTGACATAGCCAGTAGGCTGGCTTTCCCGTAGCTCCGGTGGGGAGAGAGCCTGTGAGGGACTGCTGCTGCCCTCCCCTGTGGAAAGAGGAGGAACAACTGCAACTGGAGGTCTCAGCCAGCCTTTTGTTCTCTCTCCGGGGGTGAGAGAACAGTGACCTGCGTTGTCCCTGGTGTTGGGGACAACTCCCACGTTCTCAGGCAAGCCAGGAATAGGAGTGCATTCTGCATGTTGTATCTTTCTGTCACCGCCCACGTGAAAAAAGGGGAAGGACAGAGCATCTCTCTGAAAGCTGCCATCTCTCCCTACGCAGCTGCTCAGGCCCTCTGCCCTGTTATTCCCCAGCTTGAGCGTGAAGCAAGGGTGACGTGCTGGTCTTTGGGACAAGGCAGGATGACAAAACAGATTGCGCTGGTGGAGAATGATTGCCAAGTGAGAAGCAGTTCTCATGATTTGCCAGAAAGCAAAGGTCAGATAGGCAAAGGTGCGAAAAGTACCATGGAGAAATTTTACAGGGGAAGCTGTTAGTGCGGGTAGTAACACTAATTCAGTGTGTTCTCTAATTTAGTTGTGCCGTAATGCTTCATATGCAGTATTCTTTTCAGTTAACTATTTTTATGCATGAAGATCACGTACTGACTGTTCTCAGACATTTAGATTTGGCTTCTGTGTCTCTGTTAAGACCTTTGCTTAAGTATTCACTCAGCTGGTAAATTCATTCATGTTAATCCTCACTGACTGCAAAGGATCTACTTGTGTATACAACAAAATGATCATCTTCAAATGATACGATGTATTGGAATATTCTGTTCAGAAAAATCAATATGATTCAGGAAAAAAAAATCTCTACTAAAAACAGCGATAATGTTGAAGTCAGTAGGTCTTCCTGTGAGCTTATGTATATAGTCTCAAATAGTGGCAGAGTTATACCTATGCCTAAGAGGTGCTGAATGAAGCTGGAGTGCTTGATGGTGACTGGTAAAATCCATTGTGACTTCAAAGTAAGTCAGAGTAAGTTACTGCTGCTCAGTGTTTTCTAGGCATTCCAAATTCAGATTCAAGTTTGGGGCTCTTCTAGGGGAGTTGTTTGGGAGCTTCTTTATAGTACGCATCTCCCAGATTAAACCCACGTAAATTACCATATTTAAGGAGGTCTGTAAAAAGGATTCTTTCCATTGACCTCTTCTGATCTGTGATATTTATAACCAAATGCTGCATAATTGTATTCAGATGGCTATGCACTTTGATTATTTAGCCATGGGTGTTTCTGTTTTCCAAAGTGCCAAAGCTTGCAATACTATGCATGCATGAGATACCTCAGGACTGTTTTTTAGTGAGTACACATTTGAGACAGAACTTAACACTCAGTTTAGTAATTCTGCACTTACACTGGTATTAATCATTGTGCTGTCCTTGTCTCTTGTCTGTTTTTTAGCCCATATATGGATCTGCAATAAATTCAGGTGTGGAGAGAAGAGGCGACCAGAATATCATTGTTCCTGTTCAGATGATTGTGTGGAAAATAAAGATTGCTGTGTCAATTATTATGCTGTATGTAAAGGTAAGTATCCTCAACAAATTCCTACAGTCTCTCTTATATGTACCCATATTTGTATGAAAGGAGCAAGGACATAATATAATTTTAAAAGCATCCAATAAAATGAAAAAATGTACATTTATCAATGAGAATGTACTGTCTTAAAAAATAAATTGCACTCATTTGTTTTAAGGAGAGGCAAGCTGGGTTGAAGAAGAGTGTGAGGACATTACTGAACCTCAGTGTCCGAAAGGGTGAGGATATTGTATATTTGCATAGCTCTGCTCTTTGCTTACGTTTCATTTTTGAGATTACTTTCCCTATTGTCTTTCTTATCCATAGTAAGAGCAGCTGCCAGACAGCGAAGGACACCTATTCGGCCAGCGTTTGGTAGCGCTTACTAACAGATCAGGTTGCCCTATCCCCGCAGCACTTGCTTGACTTGCAAGATATGCCTATTCCTGAACCTTGCTGTCTCTCACAGATGTGTGTGCTCTGGGCACCTCTGCCTTGTGCCAGCCTCATTATTTTCCTACATGTGCTCCAATACCCGCTGTCCCAAATATTTTGGGACCCACCCAGCAATCTCAGACTCCTAAGACTGCCTCTCTCCCTGGTCACTTCTAAAGACCTTTCCATTTACTTGCCTGTTTCAGCCCCAGAGCTGCAAAATGTGGGCGGGTCACTGTCCCAATTTCACCAGCAGTGGGACAGCATTATTTGCGAGCTGTCTGAACTACTTTCTTTAAAAGGTGTAAAATGCCATGGGATCCTTGTATTCTCTGACTCAGCTCCACGTTGGGCCCACTCCTGCAAGTTACGTATACGCTGTGTAAGAAATGACTCATCTAGTTTATGGCACCAGCACTCGGGCTCAAATAGTACAGCAAAGTTCCCAGCCAGGAAAAAAGCCTGCACTTCTTGTAATGTTTTTGCTGTGGGATCTTCAAATTAACTTTAAAGCTAAAGTTGACTGCAAACTATGATTGCATGTATAAGTTGTTATAGAAGTGACTTAAACATTCTTGATTGAAAAGTGTTCCACTGGAAAATAGGTTGTTGAATGAGTTGAATTCCATTATGTTCTTATCTCCAAAGTGTCAAAAAAATCGAAACTGTTTTCATTTTGATGATTTTGAAATTATGGTGTGCTGGGGATATTTTCAGTAAGATAAAACCATTTCATTTTGTTCTTCTGTCATTACTTTTTTTGACTTATGTTAAGATATTTAAATTGTGCTATATTTATCCATTGGAGTTATAATATTGTCAAACAAAATACATTTCCTCTTGGAATATTTTCATACCAAACAAGCACTTCTCATTCTGATTCAGAGCAATAACAAACGCTGATGCTTCAGAACCTTCTTCAAGACAGAAATTGGAGCTTCTTTCCAGCTTGGAGTCCAAGTCCCTGATAAGCTCCCATGTAGGAGGGAGGTAGCCAGGTGGTTGTGGAAGCTTTTGTCATTAACTCCTGTTCTGAGGTCAGGGGCCATTCCGGACTGCGTGCTGGGAACTGACTCTAGGATGCCGATTTCCCTAATGCAAGACTATGGAGTGTTACCCCCCACGGGTGGATAAACGAACAAGAGCCTTGTGCACATCCACAGTCAAAGTTAATGGCGTAAACGCTGTAGGGCAACTCCTGTTGGTTAACTTGTTTAACTTGTTTTTAGGGTTTTTTGTTTGGTTTTTTTTTCTGTTCAGTGCATGAAAGGGATGCATAGTTACTCTATTAAAATTGTTTTAATCATGGCAAAACCAGAAATGTTGCAATAAAACCTAGTCCAGGAAAGGGTGATGTGTGGTCAAAGTTGAATCAAACAGTGTTGACTGAGGCTCATTTCACACAAGCCTCTCGCAAAACTAACAACTCTGTAAACAATCCACTTCTTCCTATGGTGGGGTAGGCAGGAGTGCAGGTGACTTCAGCTCAGTGCTTATTTTGAGGCCTCAGCATATCAATTCTGATTCTGTGCATATTAATACAACATGTTTTGTGGGTTCAAATTGCTGTTTTTATTCTGTTTTGGTTTCAGTTGGGTTTGCTATTGTGGCACAGAATAGACAAAAGACAGTGCAGTGTTCAATGAGGTGCTTAATCTGAGAAATACCACTGATTTCAATGAGATTGATCAAATGCTTAAAATCAAGTGCACACCTAAGTCATTCCAAGACTAGGTTCTATGTTATTTATTAGGATTGTAAAGTTAATGTGCTGTAAGATTTCGGGAGTGATCTAGTCCTTCCCGCTATTCTGGGAATGAATTAATACTCTGAGAATTCAAACCTACTTAATCAGTTTATCCTAGAGCTTAGCTGGATGGTTTTCCTGACTTCTTAGTACCTTTTGCTGTACTTTAAGCCTATTACTATTTGTTCTATCTGCATTGAGCTGGAAGAGCAGCTGATTCCTTTCCTCTCTGCAGATCTCTCCTGTATATTTCAAGATTGCTATTATGCCTCCTGTTGAGGCTTTACCTACATTTAGCGGAAAAGAAAGCTTTACCTCCTATGCTTTATGACCGTATATAGGCAGTAGTGGGGGGGGGAGGGGGGATAGGAAGTTTTCTGTGTAGCATGTTTAGCTTTTCAGGAGGACTTTCTTTTCTTTTTGTCCTTTTCTTTCTTCTATTTTTTTTTCCTTTAATTGTGGTCTAACTTGCCTGTGGTGAGGCAGGTCGGCTTGGCAGTGTGGTCCGCAGTTCTGGGCGCTTGATCATCCAGACTGGTGAACCTGCTAGACCACAGCAAGCCTGTGTTCCCGCGTTATGTTTCCATAGAAGCCAGTTTATAGGAGGGGATAATTACCACTGCATTTCCTTCAGTTTGGAGTCAGGATGTGACTGTGGTGTACATATTTATCCAAGAGCTGTGAAACACCCTTGTCATACTGTTTGGACACAGCCAGCGTGAATCGCTGGCAGGGCCAAAACCTGAGCCTCCCAGGCTTGCTTGCTCAGGGTAGCACATTTTTGAAGTAGCAAGTGTAACCTTGGCTGTCGACAGGAAGAAGTCATGGAAATTGCTGATATATCTCAGAACTGAGCTCAGGTCAGTTTTTCCGGGGATTTTACTGGAGCTGTTCCAAAGAGAGTGCAGTTTAACGTGGTCTGTCATGCTTTGCTTCCCTGAGCACAGGGCAGGTCACTATGTGAGTTTCAGCACGTGTAGAGCATACGACAAGCGAAATGGCCAGTCTCCCTAGTTGTGGCAACTGTCCACATTTTGCCAAGTTTAATTTTACGTGTGCGAGGGGGTCAGTAGCTGGATTTGCAGACAACCAAAACATGTACTTAACAGTTGGTTTACTTGTAAATGCCAAACCAGAAATAGTTGCGTAAAGTCCCTTTCTAAGGAGTTGTTTTAAATTTTGTTTTTTTAAGTTAGACTTGTCCGTAAGTAATATTGAACAGTCTTTGCCTCAAAGTTCATATTTTATTGCAGGAAACTTTGCAGTGAAGATTTTTAGCCCTCTGCATTGGAGGGAATCAATTTGTTGGGGCGAGGGGGGGCAGGGAGCAGAGAAGGTATTTGCAAAAGTTGCAAAGATCAGAATCTGTGGTGGAAAAAATACTTGTAATATGGGCAAAGGTAGTACATGAAGTTTCCCTACTCTGTTCTGCCAAAGGACTTTAGTCTTGGTCTGAAGATTGTTCATTTTTTGTTCCCAACTAACTGCCCCTACTAAGATTTCAAAAAGATGGTATTAAATATACCATATAAATAAAAACCAGGCTACAAACACACATCTTACAAATACATCTTAATGTTTTATTCTGTCTGGGGTGTAGGGTAGGCTATGTAATGGTTCTGACTAATGAAGTCCTTTTGGCTGAACTGTTGTCCAAATTGTTGATTAAAATTTTCTTAGGATAAACATGTTTTTGTTGCCTGACTAATCTTCAGTTTAATGTAGTTACATTTGTTTGACTGAAATAAGGCTTATAAATGTTTGACTTGTAAATGACTGTTTGGATTTTTTGGTGGGGTACCTCACTAAAGAAATTGTCAACACTTTATAAATCATATTTGTCTTCTATCCTCACTGTTTTACTTTGGGAAACTAAAGTGCAACAAAGTGGTTTGTTGTTTTTTTTTTTTAAAAAAAAAAAATTCATTTTACAATTTGTAAACATAAAAAGGAAAAATGAGCTTGCAATTGGCATGTAAAATATATTTGATTCTTTTATGCAAATCAGTGATTTTTTGCAGTCTTATATGTCCTCATATCCATAGGTCAAACATAGGATATTTTTTGTTCAAGGAGGAAGTTACTGATGACTATTCCCATCTGTGATGCAATGGTTTAAGTACTTACAGTTGGAGAGAAATTGTTTGAACAGGGCTGAAGCTGGGACCAAGTCAAGGCTGGAAAACATAGGTCCTGTGGAGACTGGAACGGAGAATTTATTTTTGTTAGTTCCAGTGAAATAGGTTTCTGAATTTATCTATCAAGTTCCAGGCTGAAATACTGTTTCAGTGTTCCAGTTGTAGGGCCACACTTTCAGTTTGGGGATTGATAGTACTTCTGGTACAGAAGGGATAGTGGTTTAGTTCTTTTTGGTTAAATAATCTGTAAAAGATCTTTGTAAGATCTTTATCACTTGAAATAAATGACAGGAAATTATTTCTCAGTCTGTCTTCTAATACTTCAATTTCTGTTTGTTCAGATTTACCAAGTCTCCAGTGTTACTATTTTCATTGGACGGCTTCAGAGCAGAATATTTGCAGACTTGGGGTGGACTTCTACCTGTTATTAGCAAATTACGTGAGTAATTTCTTTGTCTAAGCAATATTGTGATGTCTTACCTGAAAAATCCTTGGAGTTTGCTTTTTCTGTAGATGCAACTATGCTTACTCTTTTAAATCCTCACTCCTCCATGGAAATTCAAGCTGTTGCCCTACATAACCACTGTGTACAGAGAAGTTGAGGTGTGGAAGGGCAAAGAGAGGGAGGGCATGAGGAAAGGACCCTTTGGATTTTCGGTGAAACCTTAAAAATTGTTAAGTAGCCCTTCCTATATTTAGGATGTGGACACTTTTTGCTGTGAGCTTCAAAATAGAAAAAAACCACACTTTTTACTCCGTATTGCATATTGTCTCATATTTAGGTGGCATGGCTTTGGAAAATGGAAAGCAAGGTAGAAAGCGTTTCATTATACTTGAAAAAGAAGATATAGAAGGAAGAGATCAGGAACAGATCATATAGAAGGGCTGGTAGAGATGTGATGAATCTGAGAAAACTTTCATTTAACAAATATTTTCAGAAGAAATGAGAGCCTCATAACTACATATGTTCTGTAGGTTTTGTAGTGTCTTACTTAACTTTGTAGTGTCTAAGTAACTTTAGTTACTTTTCCTGTCTCTATTTTGGCTGTGGTCTATAAAGAACCGATGGCATTTCTTGTCTGAAAAATATGCCAATCTTCCTGTCATTCATAAATTACTACCTGGGGTGGCTGGTTTCAGTTTAACTAAAAATAAATCAGTAAAAATACTTGCTTTTTTGTACAGTGGTTGTTACAACTTGATCTGTTCCAGAGAATAACAATTCACAGATGTATTTGAGGTTTTAGCTTTTTTTTTTTGCTCCGTGTTAGAATAAAACAAGGCATTTGAAACAATTTCATAACATGCGGTTATCAAAATTTTTGACTGCAGAAGACTTCTTGGGCATTGAGAGGAGAGGCTGACTGTTACAAATGGTTACAGCTCTGGCTGAGATACAAGATAATGGTGCCACAAAGCAACTGTAGGACTTCCAGGCTGTGACATCCGCTTCCACATGTAAAGTTTCTTCATTTTTTTGGTCTGCATAGGCAACAGTGCAACTTCTCTCGTGGACTTCTGATAAACTTGTATTTCTGTTTCCACTGAAACCATGATAAATTCTGACCACTAAGGAATACAAATCTCATCAAAGGCACTTCACTTCTCCAGATCCATGGAGTTTTTGATGGTCAAAACTTACATTTTTAAAGGATTCTGAAAACAGAATGTCTAATAATACGTGTGTTAGCATAAAATAAGGCACAGTCTGGGGAAAAGATATTATTTCTACAGTTCTACATTCTCTAGAACATTTTTTTTGTAATCTGATAGAAGACTTTTATGACACGATATACCACAGGATATCCAGCTTTCTCTTGTTACAAAACCTTGCCTTCTAGTCTTCTCCCCCTACCCCCCCAAAGTAAAATGGTGGGTGAAAAGCTCAGATAAGGCAAATTTTCTTCAGTAAGAGAAAAATAGTCTCATGAATGAATGAAAGTTGGTGGGTGTATATCACATGACAGTCTGAGGGCCTGTGGCTTCAAATCTCCATGTGCTTTGTGTCCCATGTGTCTGTAAGCCCTGAAAATGGTGGAAGCAGTCATCCTGTAAAGATAAACATTTCTATGAGTGCATTGCTACAGTATCTTACTGTGCAGGAAGGGGTAATGAAATCTATCCTTCTGTGGTGGACATGTAACAATAACAGATAAATTGCTTGACCGTTGCTGAAAAATTGTATTGAATCCTTTTGAAGTTCATAGTTATCCATTTTACAGGACTAGTAAATGCTCAAAAGGAGACACAGTTTATGAATGACAGTATTTACAAAGCAGTGAAGAGTTATTCACATGAAGTAACTTACCGGACTTCCCAGTTCTAAATTAAATTAAAACCCTGGATTTTCCTGTTTAAAACACTTAAGGACAAGTGCAGCATTCTGTAAGATAAAAATATTTCCATTATCTAGTTCTGTTAATTCAGCCATGCCTACAATGAAATTCTGATGTCCCCTTGGATAAAACTGTTAGAGTAGATGCCTGTAATTCAATATCAGAATTTCACTTTTAATAAGTTTTATTATACACACCCACACTGCTACCTGCTGAAAGGTGGGCAATTCAGCATGGAGCTGAGGGTTCTCAGCGAACCCAGGCATAGCCGTAATGTGTGCATATGGGGTTCAGAGAAGACATTTTCACATACTTCTGTGCTGTGATACCATAATTTTAAAATAAATCCTCCTTTTGTCTTCAGTCATCTTTAACTAACTAAGACAACAAGCCAAAAAGAAGCCAGATAACTCTTACAGGAAGTCCCAGCAAAACCGCCTAGGATTTTGGACAAAACAAGGTTTATGTGTATTTTTCTGTTACTTTAAAAACAAAACCACCCCAACCTCCCTCCCCACCACCTCCACCAAAAAACTACCATTTGGGAAAACAGCCTCAACAGCAGATTTGGAAATGGTTGAAATGCATCAAGTGTGTTGCAGTAGCAAAAAGGGTACAAGTGATGATTTGTTACTACAAGTGATGATTTGTGGGAGAGGATGTCGATGTAACTTGAAAGGATTTCTTTTTCCGGCTTGGCTTCTTTTTATCTCAGTTAGCCCAAATTGATTATTTCAACTGAGATCTAATCCAAAGCCCAAATCCAATGAGTTCAAAGTGCCTTGACACAACACTTTTTGTATTATCTAACCTTTCATTTCTATTTTATTTATGTTGCATATAATGACCCAGAGGGCCAGTGAAGAAGTAGTGGTCTTTGTATAGCATCATTACTTAGAGCTCTTTAGCATCAGCTGAAGTGGTTTTATCACATAGGATTTTTGAAGTCATTAATGAAGGCTTTTTTTTTCTTTTTAAGCTTTTTTTTCCCTGAAAATCAGGGTCCATACATTTGCCTGTGGAAATTTAGGCACCTGACTTAAGTAAGCTTTGCTTAAGTGCTTTGGCCTGGCTAATGACCCTTCATACTGACAAATACTGTGCACTAATCTTAGAAACCTATGATTTTTATATCAAGACAAAGAAAACTTTGAGATTCATCCTAGAATAAGAGCTTATTTTTATTTTAAAAAAACAAAACGGAGAATGCAAAATAAATAGTGATTTGAGAGGTGGTTGAGAGAGCCAGGGCACCACTGTGCCACTGGCCACTTTGTCTCTGGGAGCGCCCAGGGTGAAGTAGCTAGTTGGTCTCAAGCGGCAGACTTCACTTACCGTGCACCAGGGCTGCTTTGGAGGGTGCGATTTCTTTCATTATTCATTCTTATCTATGTATGCTTTTCATAAGGACTGTAGGTTTTGCTCATATGACTATTGAAGTCAGTCATTAGGAATACATAAAATTTGTATTAATAGCCTTTTAGTCAGATTGTAAATGAACATGGGAAGAAGAATAAAGTATTAACTCCAGAATTTTAAAGAATGACAACTTTCTGGAAATTTCTTTTGTTGTTGGTTTTGTGTTGTTTGGGGTGGGGTTATTTGGTTATTTTGTTTGGTTGGTTTTGTTTTCATTTTTGTTTTTTTAACTCTTTTGTTGTTGGTTTTATGTTGTTTGGGGTGGGGTTATTTTGTTTGTTTGGTTTTGTTTTCATTTTTGTTTTTTTAAGTAGATATATATCTTCATGAGAGAAACTTGTAAGGGTTTCTATTTCTGTAATTTTGCTGATTTTTTTTTTTTTTTCTTCCCTCTAGAGAAATGTGGAACATACACTTCCAGTATGAGACCAGTGTATCCTTCAAAAACCTTTCCCAATCATTACTCCATCGTCACAGTAAGAATTCCTGTATATTATCTGTCTTCGCTACTGAAGAGACTGTTCATTATCAAGTTGTCGCCATAGGAATAGTACATTTTTTTATGGATTATTAAAATGATAGGATTTCTGTTCAGAATATGAAAACGTATATATTATACGCCTTATCTAATTTAGATTAACAGTCATTATATAACACTACAGCTAAATGGACAGATTTAATCTGAATAAGTAATCCAATCTTTCCTAGAATAGCTGCAAGAATTCTCAGGTAGGTAGAAGGTCACATCCATTTACAACTCCTCATTTGTATAAATATTTCCACTAAATTTCAGCGCTATTTCTCTTGGACTGAGAGCAGCCTGACTCTCCTAAACTGCCAGCCTTGTTCCACTTCTTTAAGGTATTGACGCAAAGAAGGGTATGAAATGAAAGGACAGATTTGAACATCACATTGATGTTGGCTCTGTGATGGACTGTACCCAAACCTGGATAGTAATGGCACAAAGCTGATCTTGTAAATTTATCACCTCCTGCATATAGGAGGAAAAAGAAAAATGGAGGTTTTCAACACCGAATGCAGGGTTGGAACCCAGCAGATCCTTCTTAGTTTCATCACGTCAGAACTAAAATTAAATCAAATACTTGATAATCTGCACTTTCTTTCTTATCTTCCCAGTTTGTCAGGACTGTCTTTTGGTAAGTGAGGAGCACAGGTTCAGGAATGAGATGTTTAATTGTGTAATCCTCACAACTATCCATGATTGAATATGCAACTAAGAGGCATTAATCATGCCCTGCAGCCATGCGAGAGTGTCCCTAAATACAGTATAGAGCTTTGTCTCAGCTTCCCATTCCTGTGAAAAGTATCAGGCATGGTGTTTATCAGGGTCCTAACGGTGGTGGTGTTATATCCTTTAATGTAAAAGGGAGCTAGTCTGCTTGAAGGCAGAGCACGAAGTATGTTAAAACTACCTAACAGCTAGTGCCTCCGAGCACTTCTTTCACTAATTATGTAATGGTTGCCCCCAGCTAGAGCTTTCACCGTGCAATTCACCTTTGAAATCCCCAGGTTTTGGTCATGTGACGGAGGTCCAACATAGGCAATGGCTTTGTCATTGGTACTAGAGATACAACAAATGCGTGAACTGAGACGGTGTCTTTCGGTTTGATCCCAGTGCAAGTTGCTTGCCTATTTTTTTTTAATCTCACTGAGAAGCAATTAAGAATTGGAACGTAGGGCTTGGTAGCAATGGTAGGTGATGCTGTTAAATTTGGGTCTTGAGGTACTGGTGGAGTAGAAGTCGCATATATATTATTCATTGGGCATATTTGTCTAACGGACATCGGTTTGTGTAGCCGGAAGGTTCTTTTTCTTTATAACATTGCGACAAGGTATACTCTTGATTACAGGGGCTGTATCCTGAATCTCATGGTATAATTGATAACAAGATGTATGACCCCAAAAGAAATGCATCCTTCACCCTTAAAAGTGAAGAGAAGTTTAATCCGCAGTGGTACCAAGGACAGCCTGTAAGTATTAATACACTGCTGAGAATGTACATCAGCCTGTTGTTTTGTTACTTAATATCACTTGGATGCATAGTGATGTTGAAAGAGTACAGAGGGTACCTCTAAGTCAGCCAAGAAGCATTGCTCAGCATGATTAGGAATTCCCATACTAGAGCTGCAAAATGACAAATGAAACAAAGTGTAATGGATTTTGTTGAACTCAAATGGAATTTTCTCTAGGGAGAAAAGTAGCTTAGAATAACTAATAGAGATACCAGATTTTGTTCTGTTTTTAATATGAAGTGGGCTTGCAGTAAACTCCTCTGAGGAAATCGACAGACCGGTTAGTTTTAGTAATAAGCAGTAGTAAAGGTTTACACTCTGCGCAAATTACTACCAAGTCTAAAGATGTGGTTTTCACAGAAAACGTCTCAGTTCAATCACACAGCTATGGCAAATCTGCTGAGACTGCCATCAAAATGAAGTGGCATGAGAAAGTTGGGGTGAGTGCTAGCCTGAAGAATAGCAAGGGAGCAGATGCAACTTTAGTAATGTGGGGAGGACCGATGTTCGGTCTTGTTTTGTTTTTTGGTTTTGTTTTTTTTTTTTTTGAGGAAAGAACACACAAGTGTAGGCTTTGCGGGCCACTGAGAAGAAAGCGGTGTACGAATCAGACAGGAAAACGCACAGAAGGCAGACAGAAATCTACAAATCATGAGATCAGCAGTAAAATCGGAATAGTTAACCAAAGTCTTGCTCCCATATTTCAGAGTATGTGGGGCATAGGTCCTCTGAACACTCCCACCCCTTCTTGCTTCACTGTTCTTGAGACACGTCCCCTTCCCGGTGTGCAGCCATGGTTCTACCATTGCTTTACTGCTCCGTCCATGGGAGCTAGTGGTTCCTACTTCTGCCCGGGCTCCCCCGGTGTAGCAGCAGAAGGGATCCGAGTGTTTGCCATAAGGAATCAGGCTGCGAGGTATATCTGGACTGCAGATAACGATGACATGCAAGATTGACTGTCCGGAGAGCTCCGCTTATATTTTTAGTTTTTGGTCTTGCTGAAGGGTGCAGAGCTGGTGGGGGGACAGTAGTGGATCCGGCAGTTACTCAGCTCACTCAGTGACCTGCACTAAAGATGGCGATTGTTCTTCTCCTGCAGATTTGGCTAACAGCTATGTACCAAGGTCTAAAAGCGGGTACGTTCTTTTGGCCTGGGTCAGACACAGCAGTTAATGGAACCTTTCCAAACCTGTATGAAAAATACAATAGGTATGTAAACTCCTGTGTCTTGGATGAATATTTTACTTTAACTGTTGCAATGGGACAGACGCCAGAGGAAGCATAATTTTTTTCTTGCTTTTCTAAATAGTTGTACACAACATGAAAAAAAGATAGGATCCAATTAACTTTGTTTCAGTATAATAGAGATTCTTTGTCTAATCATTTTGTTATTCCTCAGCAAGCGTTTTACAGGAAAGATGTGGAAAAATCAGCTTTAAGAGCAGCCAGCTTTGAAGCTTTAGTGCTTTTCTGTTTTTCTATTTATAAAAATCTTTTGTGGGTGTTTAGAGTCATTCAATCCAAACCTCTCATACAGTGAATGGATTGGGTCTTGACATGATATTGTCCATGAAAACTCACATTTTAATGTTGACTGTGGTAAATTGTTCCAATGTAAAATTATTCTCATTGCAAATTTTGAAAATAGTTCACATTAAGGCAGTCATATTTTAGTCAGTGATTGCTCTTCACTGCAATTAAACATTTTCGGCCTAATGAAAATTCTACATAAATCTGTCTTTTATCACCATGTATTGAATAATCTCAAATCTCGCCCAAGAAATTGGGCTTTTCATCTCTGTCTTCCTGGGATCATTTTCTCTTCCCACACCCTTCATATAGCATGGAAATTCTGATTCCTGATTTACTGCCTACATTTTTTTCTCTAGGAACTTGTACATTGTTACTTGAACTTGTGTTAAGTAGCTGAATTACTTTGTGGGTGCTTCATGTTGTTACAGGTCTACTTCAGTAATTGATATAGAGCATCTACTTTGTGGCGTAGTATGAGAACTTGTATTCAAACTGTTTAAACATTTTAAAAAAACCCACCCCCAAACCAAAACTTTTTCAAAACATAATACAGGAATGAAAACCTGCACGTGATTTTGCACCTTGAAGCCAATTATTCTCTTTGTATAATAAACACAAGCAATACTGGGAGCTTTATTCTAATCACATTGCAATCAATGGGGACAATATTCAAGGGAGCTTTAGATCAGGCCATTCACTCCTGTAGAGTCACAGACAATCAGCATAAATAAAACTTGCATCCTGCTAAATAGCCATTAATGGCATCCAGTTGAATTCAATTTTCTCTATTAAAGTAAATTGATTTTGTAATGTGTGACTAAAATTTTTTAGCTTTTGGAAATACATGGTTGGTTGATCTTGTATTGTTCTGGTACAGCTCAGTCCCCTTTGAAGAAAGGGTGGTAACTGTTCTTCGCTGGCTGCAGTTACCTGAAGATGAAAGGTAGGTATATGATTGCAAGTGTAAGTTCCTTTTCAAGGGGTATTGCAATGAATCACTTTGTAAATACAATTTCGGTTTTGAACAGTATCTTATACGTTATTCTAACAATGTTAAAATATTATTTAATGCAAGCCTGTTTGTATGACTGAAACCTTTTTTTATTGAGTTACATTTCTCTATTTCCTTTTAATGTGTCCTTCCTCTGAATGATAGCGTTGTTTCCAATATTTGATATCCATTGTTGAAATATAATCTCTTCAAACTGTCTCAACATGTATGTAAAATATTACATTTTTGGTACTGTTTGATATAGACCACACTTTTACACTCTGTATTTAGAAGAACCAGATTCCTCAGGCCATAAATTTGGACCAGTAAGCAGCGGAGTAAGTAGTTTTGTGGTTTCTTTTTTTTTTTTTTCCAATTTGAAGCTTTGCTCTGAATCTATAATAAACTTCCATAATTCATTTAGATTAACCAAATATGTTCAGTGTGCTTATTAAGAAAAAATATTTGTGAATAGACAGCACATCCATAATTAACATTGATACAAAGCATGTAATAAACAGCCTATTTAGTAAGTCTAATTTTTATTTTCTTTATTTCAATAACTTTTAAATTGCCAAAGCATGTTTGGGTATGTCTTGTATGTTGTTTTATCTGCTCCTACTAATTCTTTATGTTGATTTGGGGAAGGAGGGGGACAGAAAGTTTATGTACTTCAAATTTAGCAAGAACAGATTTTTATAGCAATGGTCCAAGTTTTGGTGGTTAAGTATTCATGTTACAATTGTCATTCATTTTCCCCCAGTCTCTGTGCAAAGGTTAGATCAATAATGGTCTTATCTCCCTGCAGTTAGATTTTATGCCTTCTTGGAAAGAGGGTGAAAAAAGGGACGTTCACCCCATCAGTCTGTGGTGTACCTATTGTATAAATAAGAAGTCTTCGGGACTGCTGCTGTTTTCAAAAGTACTAAATAGCTTTACATTTTAACAAAGCAAAGTGAAAAATGCAAAGGAAGAGCTCTTGGAAATTCAGGAACATTGTAAAATTTTCTCATCTTGAATGGTCAGGAAGTTTGGGCATCTTAACTAGGTATTTAACCTCAGTGGTGATGACAGTAAAAAGCTCTTGCCAATTTCTCTTGAGGTGTGAGCAGTTACTGTTCCTGTAAGGAACTGTAAGATGACCCCAGTGAAGTAGCAGACAACTAATTGGAACTGCAGCATAGGGAACATGTTTAAATTGGTTATCCTTTTCTTTGGTTAATAAGTGGATCTGAAGTTCTGTATGTCAGGAATGCTTCCGAGAGAAAGACCCTGAGGGTTTGTACATAGTCTCCCCAGCAGCATCTCATCTTTGCTCACACAAAGCAAGACAGCTTATACTAGTAGTTCGATGAGGTAGCAGAATGACTTGATTGAAAAATACTTTCTTTTGGTTTGTTTGCTTAGCAAGTATTCAAAAGTAGCCCAGGCGGCTGTACCTACACAAGCGAACTTGAACGCCAGACCCCTGATCACGAATAGTGCTAGACTGGTAGCTTGTTCTTTGGCTTTTTCAGTCCCTTTAAACTAGTTTGCTCTGAGGCTAATAGCTAGTCACAATTTCAAGGGCAATTTGCTCCAGGGTCTCTCCCAACAGGGATTTTGAGGAAGAGTGCCACAGGCTTAGCTTCCTCTAGTCTCTTCAGCCCTCTGGTATTCTCCCATCAGCATCTGCACGCTCAGGCATTCCCTCTTGTCCTCGGTTGTGGCCCTGGTAATGCAAAAAACATCCTCAGTTTCATACTTTAAAACTACCCTCACCGGCTGTGATACGGGGTGGTGTTTTGGGTTTTTGTTTGTTTGTTTTAATGTCTTCAACTGAAATAACATAAAAATGTGTAGCTGTGTCTTAGTACGGTGTGGGGCCGAAAAAACTGGGGCCAAGAGCCGTGTAGTGTAGATATAGCCAGGCTTCTGTAGATGGAGGTAACCCTGAGCAGTGCAGGTGCTAGGCAGTCTGCAGGCTCCCATTTTTGTTTAGCTGTATAGGTCTACCTGTTGAGTCCATTCTCAGTCGATGTAAAGACTATGCATCTAAAGGGTGCAGAACTGAGAGAAGCAGGAACAGACAAAAAGCAGGTTTAATTGAGAATGCTGTAAGTCTGCTGTCCTCACAGTTCCTTCTGTTAGTGTGTGCTGTACGTGCTCCCTGTCACGAGTTTGGGGGTTACTGCACAGGTTTACATCCCCTGTGTCCTTCATTTATTTCTGGACTGCATCTAGCCTTGAATGGTCTATAAGAGGAGCTCCTTATTCTTTATTAGCATGTACTGTTACAGTTTAAATTTATTCACTCTCCCTAGAAATAAATTTATTTTTTAATTGAAGTGATTAACACTTACTTTACATTCCTGGTTTTGTCCTGCAGGTCATTATGGCATTACAGAGAGTGGACAACATAGTAGGGATGCTGATGGATGGGCTCAAACAAATGAACTTGCATAAATGCCTGAACATTATTTTTATATCAGATCATGGTAAATTTGATTTTTATAAAATATATCGGAATTTTGAAGGGCTGTTTTTATAAAGTAATATTCTGAGTTTATGTTTGCATGTTTCTGGCAAGGTTAAGGAAGCAGCTAATACCTAGAAATTACATTTTATGTTATCAAGATGGTGTGAAAGATAATCAGTGTAGGTGAGAATCAGACTATTTTATGAGGGGGGGAAGAAGTGGAGAACATAGGGAGGGATTCAGTAATTTTCATATTTTATTCCTAAATCCACCTGTGATCATTACCAGCTGATAAAAGAAATAGAATAAAAAATGTGAATTGTGAAAAATAGGTTTAATTTTATTCTGTCTTTTAGCTACACTGCACAGCAATAGTTTGTGAATTGCTGAAGAAGAGAAAATACAAGCCATATCTTCCTTTCAGTTATCAGTTCCCTTATCCATTATCAGTTATCAGTTCCCTTATCCATTATCAGTTATCAGTTCCCTTATCCATGTGGATATGAAACTTTGATTTATTTCTGTAATAGCTTTTCTATATTTCTGGAATTACTTCTGTAATAAGTTACGTATTTTACCAATACATTTTTTTCTGCTTCTTTTCCTGAAAAACAAAATGTAAGCACACTTCCATGCAGCACAAAATTGACTTGCAGAGCTCATTGCCACTGGGAATGATCCAAGCCAAATATCTATACAGGTTTAAAAAATATTTACAAAATTGATGGAGGGGAAACCTGTCAAAAATTATTAAAAGTAAGAGTTCAAATGCAATATGCAACTCGAAGTCCCTTTGACTTCTGGAAACTGGAACAGTTAAGGAACACTGGGAGGAAGATCAGTCCATAATTGCTGTGCTTATTGGGTTTTTCTCTAGACATGTTACTGAACACCGTGTAGGTAGGATATTGGGCTAAATGAATATTTGGTCTGCCCATTACTATTGTTCTTAGGCTCGTAAGACTTCTTTCCCTTCAGAGAAGAAAATTTGTCTATTTATTTAATTGGAGTGTCTTTCTCAGCTGAGGAAATGGCTGATTGTGTGTATCTATGTAATGTTTTGTTTTCTTCAATACATGAGTATTGTGGTCTCCTTGGATCAGATGTCTTGAGGTTGCTCATAAAAAGACCTGAGAAATTACGTTTCTGACTTCTACAACTTAAGTTACATGTCTCCTCAGCAAGGCTAGTCTACATGGATGTTCCCATTTTTAAATAAAATTTATTTCCTTTTGCAGGGATGGAAGCAGGGAGCTGCAGAAAAACAGCATATCTGAACACCTATCTGGATGATGTTCAAGATTTCATGGTAGTACCTGGTCCTGCAGCTCGCCTAAGACCTAATAATGTTCCAGATGAGTATTTCTCTTGTATGTAGTTGCTAAACTAATTTTTGTTACTCGGTTATATGCTTTTGTACTTTATGAATACAAACGTAGGATCCACATATTCCATTGGTAAACTTGAGTGGAGGTCAACTAGGGACAACCTGGATAATGTTGAAGAGGAAATACTGAGTAGTGCACCTGTGCTTTTAAAGACCATTTGACTTTGCAGGTCTGAAAGTATATTGGAATCCTACAGGTGGCTTTTGTGGGCTGCCTCAGCGTGACCAACTGCAAATGCTCTTTGCCTTGTGAATGGCATTCCTTTGAATCAGATCTTTGGTACTCAAGACAGCCTGAAAATCCCCCCCCTTATGTCTCACCTCTTTTCCTGATTTACCAGTTTATGTATAGATTTGCTATATTTCTGTCTTAAAGGAATGTTAGATTGTTACTATCTTTTACATACTATTTTATGAGTGTTATAATATATTTACTAGTTATTAAAACATGGCCTAATGGCCTGACAGCAGTTGAGTAAACTGCAAATAAACATAAATAAGATAATAAACCTGAGTAAAAATCAATGAATGCTTACATATTTTAAACTTTGATTCATTATACAGTCTCATTTCAGGTGAACACTTAATGCTTGCAGTTTTTGGTACTTTTTAATGTAGAATACAGGCGTTTCGTTCACATTTCGTAGGGTTTTTTCCTACCTAGATTATTGTTCTCCATGCCCTTTAAAACTTGCAGGCCTCAACACCAGTGACTTTAAGTTCTGTTTACTTCATTGCTTGATGCTATTCTAAACTGTTTTAAATGTTTCCTTGGAGAACGTGGGAGTCAAATGCAGTTCCAGGTTCTCCCTGGAGAAACAAGTTCAGGAAGAAGAAAAGCAGAGTATCTCCTGCTTTTGACATGTGCACTGTTTTCATGAAGTCTTTGCAGCACTGCATGTGTCTGTGCAGGAATTATTAATGGTTCCCTGGCAGTGTAATCCTTTATGTATTTTAGTCAAGCATTGGATATCAGACTCAGGACAGAGTGACTGTGTGAAATGTAATGGGCCTGTGTTACACAAAATGTCAAACTAAATTATGTAATGGTCCCTTTTGGCTTGAGTTTAAGCATCTGAATCTTAGCCAGCTTGCACTTGGCTATCTTTCTAAGGATGCTTGCCAGATGAAACTGCTGTACTGATAGTTGTATTTGTTCCTTTTTCCTTAGAAGTTTATTAGCAAGCAGGAAAAGTCCAGCTTGATTAGCACAGCATTTAGTTGCCTTTTCTGTGAAAACTTATTCTTGCATTATTTTTCCAACTGTGGCTAATATAGTTTAGAATTTTGAAGCTGTAAATAAGTAAGCAAGGGAAGGAGAGACTGTGAACTAAAATTTCATAAAAGCAATAGCTTGACAGCTTAGTGATTGTTTTGCTCCATATGGTTTTCATTCTGGAAAAATAATTTATGTCCAGAAATTTTTTGAAGCTAAGCTAATTATATTACGTGATGGGAATGCTTTCATTTTACATCTGATTTTTTTTAACTTAGGTGACTAATTCTTACATATGATTCTTCCAGTTAATTATGAAGGCATTGTCAGAAACCTCACAGTAAGTGTCGTCTTATCTGTTGTTTTATCTTAATTTCTACTGACATTTACAGGGATCAGCTGTTTGCTGGGCTACTTAAATAGCAACTGGACTTTGAATCAGTGACCTTCCATATGCTATACAGTTAACGACAACAAAACTAGTTTCGTGCAAGGGAAGGGAAGGTCAAAGTTGAATAAGGTGTCGTGTAGCTATTGTGGTTGTGCATTAACCTAAGAGTTTGTGTTCATTTCTTTTCACTAACTCTTACCTAGCAATGTATCATGTTGCTCTTCAAACTGGAGAACTTGTGTATCTGGACCATACTGGCTACGGGCCAAGTCAGTGTAAAGCTCAGCTCCATTTCCTGGACAAGCATAAGATTTTCTTAATCACACATTTTTGATAAACAGCTTTGAGAGAGGATATTGATTCTTTTTTGTCAGTTCCAGCTTAAGGAATTTGTTTTTCTGTTCTATACCTTGTTTCTGTTTTCATCCCTGCACCACCTCTCAATTGTGCAAACACTGCTGTCGGTGAGAGCTGTGCTGTTTGTATAGATGACTTCACTATTCAAAAATTCCACTATTACAGTAGAGGGTTTTTTTTGTTTGGTTGGGGTTTTTT